AGTGGTGTAGGACAGAGGGCCTGGCAAGGGACAATGCATAATGGGTAGGATCGGGCGAAAAACCAAGTCTCGTGTACACATCGGCGTGCACGTAAAAGATCCCTTGACAGTTTGAATTCGAAATAAGAGTAGGCATGTCTTCATTACCACAATCGGGCAGAACGGTAAGACATTAAACTTGTTTACTCGGCGTGCTTTTAGACAAATTATATGATATTAGATTTAAGCTTAACAGGTATTAGTCTAACAGGTGTGACTCTTAATGCTTAGTTCTCATTGTTCTGATTACCAACGCTAATTAACTATAGCCTCCCCTAGCTGTCAATCAAACTCAATGTGACTACGAGTTATCCAATCAGCTTAATCATTTAAATAACATGAAAACTAATCAAGATTGTTTGCCGAAATCACGTGACAAATTTCACTCCGGATTATAAAAAGTAGAATTTTAGGTCTTCTGAGACCGGGGAAGAGGGTCTGCCCTCGGACCAAGGGAAAATCAGGTCTGCTCTGAGACCTCGGGGGGAACAGCTGAGATTAGGACTTCTGAGATTAGATAGACATTACTATATCTAACCACAATGACTTTCATATGTAGAGTTGTACATGTAAATATGTTAACCAGTATCAAAATATCTTTTTGATAAAAACAGAGTTATGTATTCTATCACACAGATCACAGGAACAAACAGTTCGGAAAGAATGGGGTTATGGTTTGTCGCCAAGGGAACATAATGTTCTAGACAAATCATGATACACATTCGTTATAAAATGCAATACGATATATACAAATCATATCAATTAAAGTAACGATGCGCCACTGGCATTTGTCGCTAAAATATCAAATTTCTTACGGCTTATAATCAACGCTAATATGCACTCAGATTGATTAGTTAACATTTAATTATGAACACAAAATCGAAATTACCAACGCTAGATAATGTCCCGGCTTGTATTCAATCGGATTTAAAACAGGCCTCTCATTAAATTTTCGTAGAAAACAAAATGGCCTATTACATAGCGAACAGCATAGATCGACGAAATTTCAATTTCAGATATCTTGGTAAATACTGAACGGAATTGAACTGTCATAGGACTGATATTCCTATTAGAAATTCACCTGTTTACAATATTGTAGTTTGCAGGTGATTCATATTGTTTAAAATGGCACATCAGGACTTTAACGTTAATTAATACTTGATCATCTAAGCTAGAAACATTAACTCCCAAATAGTAACTTCAATTACGAGTGCTGTTAATTATAAGATTATAAGTGATTAGGTTTAGGAACCGCTTTGACGCGTAAACAGTTTAAACTAATAAAATAAAACCAAGTACGTACAATCCAAACCATTAGACAAAACTCCTAAAAAAGTCCTAAAAAAAAACGGTATAGGCCAAATGGTGTAATCAGCAAATGGACTGTTCAACGTGTACAAAATACACGACAAACAGTGGTAACAGGTGTCCGGAAGTGTAAGCTTACCCTGCCTGGCGCCACACCCGCCATAGCTGCATCAAAACCATACGACGAAATCTCGGTAAAATAGCGTGATTGGCTAATGGACTATCCGTATGCAAAATGCACGTTATGAACAGTGTTAACGATGCGGTAGACATAACCAGGGAGATAGTATACGCGTCAATTAAATATATCTAGAATAATAGCCGAAAGATAATTTCAAATTCTAGGACTAGGTTTAGTACTATCCATCCATAAATGAAATACTGACGTAAGTGCACGCCACTAGGGTCGGCTTTTTAAATATTTTCATAATTGAACCTGATGATTTCTATTATTAGTTTAATGATTATGATAAAATAGCGTCTATTTTAGATACCATTTATAAACGCGTCTTCTAATTACTTATTTATTGACTGCATTAAAGATGTATTATGTAAGAGCTAAATCTGATTATTGCAGGTCTTTATTTTGCCTTCAAATGTTATATAAAATATTGTTCGTACTTGGTTTTATTTTATTTAAACATGTACTCAACACTCGCTAGTCCATCCAATGACCGAGGTCCCATGTACACATTGGCGTCCACGTAAAAGTTCCCTTGGCAGTTGGAATTCGATATAAGATTAGGCCGTAGTGCCGCTGTGCGGGCAAAATTTCCCTCATAGCACACGTCATGGCGTATGTCCGTCTTCATTAGCCCAGTTGGAGCAGAACAGTAGGACGTTAAACCCCATTTCATTTCATTTCCATCCGATGGCTGAGATTTAAATGGATTTAAAAATTTAACGATAAATGGATAATGAAGATTGTCGATTGTCAGTTACCATTGCTGCGATAATAAAAAAAAATAAGCCCCATTTTCAAACAATCATAACTTCGCTCAGACTAAAGTAATTTGAATGAAATGTTCAATATACTCATTTTTCATTTTTAAACTATTATAGCAAAAACGATCATCTCATTATCTATATCTTTTTTTTTACCTAAATAATAATCTTTATCCATGTTTAATATTTTGTTTCATTCAGATATATTTTACTATCAAATGTGCATCTATCTTTGATTCGTTCAACGATTTGTTCATTCATCCATTCATTCATTCATTTATTTATACAATTAAAAAGACAATTCTTTAAAATACTACTACTTTTGGTAATTGAAAGATGGTCATTTTGTTTGCCCTTTTCTTTCCGTAGCTGAACGGTTTAGGGCTATAAATCCACTTATTTTGGAATTTTATAAATTTTATAAATTATCATTAATATTATTGTGATTAATATTTTGTTCAGTTGCTATCATTATTAATAGTATTGATATTAGCATTTTGTTCAGTTGTTATTATTATTAATTGTATTCTTTTTAATATTTTGTGTAATCGTTAATATTTCTATCTTTAAAAATCCAGTTGTTGTTATTATTATTATTAAAGATGCATTATGTAAGATTCAGATAAAGAGCTATAATAGTTTCAAAATAGATAATAAACTGTGAGGATATTGAAAATTTCACCCCTATTACTCGTTTCAGAGCGAAGTTATCAGGCTTTGAAGTGTCCGATTGTCCAGTACCATTGTTACGATAATAAACAAAGTCCCGATTATCCATTTTTAAATTAAATTATCAAATGGCGATCGTGTTCCAATCCATTGATTATGAGCTTGCTATGTGAATAAGTGTCTAAATAATAAATAAAAAAACATTTGAAGCCAAAAGAAAGACCCCAAATAAGCAGATTTACCTCCGACGTAATGCATCTTTAACATTATTGTCATTAATACATTGTTCAGTTGTAATTATTGTTGTCATTAAAATCTTGTTATATCGTTAAAAGTTGATAATTATCTTGAATATTATAGTAATTAAGGATAGATCGATATCTGAGTAATCTATACTAATATCCCCGAATTCATAGCTGGAAATAAATTCTTACCCATACTGATAGACATAATCGTTAAAAGCTTAACAAATGTCCTAAAGCCCCCATCATATGAAATTGGTCATCAATACGTTCTGTAAGATGTTGCTAAACGTGCTCAAACTGTGTGCTAACAGAGTGAACGTAGTAGCAACTGTTTAAGAACTTCATGGATGGGCTCCGACTTGCAGTCTGTTCAAAATTTTCCCCGTCCAACAGAAAGATGCCCTAGAACTTCCAGTCTGTTTAAAATTTTCCCCGTCCTGCAAAATGATGGAGTGACAACGTACGTAAAACGAGATGGACGTATTATGAATAGAATCGCCGTACTACTGGGGATGTGTTATAACGTCGAGCAACAATTTGCAGGATGACCAGGGTCCTGTTTCACAAAATTTTAACTAAAGATAAAATCCAAATTTTAGTAGATACTTCAATTTTGATTGGCTAAGCTCTACAATCAGTCTAATATTATCCAATCAAATTACTAAAATTTGGATTTTATCTTAGTTAGAATTTCGTGAAGCAGGCCCCAGGCGTAGGTCTTGGTTTTCTTCAGGGACTTGCGCTGCTCTTCAACATCTACTGAGAGAGAGTGTGGACATATACAAGGTCCAGTGACAGACTCAGAAACATGAGTCTGATCTGGCCGGCCTTCAGAGGAGCTGCAGCTTGGGGGTCTTCGAGCAGTGTTAGTGGCAGCTTTTCCACGGGCAGTCTTCTGGCACTTCTCTTTGGAGGAATGATGAAACACAGGAAACACTGTAGTACTATATTTGAATGTCTTGATCTGCATAGCTTGAGGTGTTGAACGGGAATGAGGCATGGCAATTTGTTCGTCGTTCGTTCGTGAAATGTTACGTCCGTTTCCACCTTGGTTGATATTGAAGACAAAGGAATGACAAGAGTCAGGACGGGATTGCACACGCAATTGGGGCGCGTTTAAACGCAATAAGAACGAGATGAGGGCGAATTGAACTGTCTCTGATCGGGGTGGTCTGGTTACAAACAAGTTAGAACTAGATGCGAGTGTATTGCCAGTAGTGCAGAACGGAGGGCCGGACAAGGGACAACATATAGTCGTTCGGATGGTGCAATAAATGAGGTCGCGTGTACATATTGTGGTGCACGTAAAAGAACTCTTTGCAGTTGTAATAAGAGTAGGCCGTAATGCCGCTGTTCGGGTAATATTTCCCGCATATCACACTATATGGCGCATAAAGCCCAGTCGGAGAAGACTATATAGTAGGGTTTAAACCTCATTCCATTTTATTTCACACATTTCGCTTGCTAAAATCGTACCCGGTAAAAACTTGACGAATGAAATAAAATGGATAATTGATTTTTAAGATTTTAGCTGTATATTATTGGATTTAATTTCAGCTGGCGTCACCAAACCTTCTAGATTAAATGGCTATTCATACAACATTTCTGTGAACAAGTAGAAATTAGGTGTGTCAAAAGCAAAGCGGTGTCCGTCATGGCGTGAATATTATACACGTAATGACCGTTATATTCCAGAACATTTTGGAGTATTATATATTATATTCTAGGTTGTTTTTCGATAGTCGAGATGCTAGTTTATTTACTTATAGACCCTTTAGTAAATTTTACAAAATATACTTTTGATGAAAGTTTATTTGTCTGTATCTAATATATATATAAAATATATGTATACAGTCATACATTATTTTTAAATTACATGTACATACATTTACAATCTGATTAAAATACAGATCTATATTTCGTTTCGTTTTTTTATATTTTCGATTGTCTCCACAACATGCAGATCTGACTGGTTGTAGTGGGGGATCCCGTCAGGGCCAAACGAGCGGCTTTTGATTAACCAACCATGGTTGATGTTTCTAGTTGGACACCCACAGTTCCGTGTTTCGCACGCCAAGAACTCGCCGCAACAGACCGTTTTATTGGCTAATTCCCCACAGCAACCACTTCCAGATCCTAGTGTAGTAAAGACAAGTAAATCGAAATTGTGAATTATAAAAAACGAAACGAAATAGGATCTGTGTTTTATCAGGTTGATACATTTACATAGGTAACAAAATAATCAAATATGCGTATATAATACATATTAGTAATACAAGTATAAATAAACATGTGCATTAAGCAAATGGGGAGGGGTGGGGCTATTTAGAAAGACGCCAATGTATTTGTCTTTTCTTTTTTTTTTTTTTTTTTTTTTTTGACCAGCTACTCATCTTCTTGTTGTTGTCGTTGTTCGAAATCAGAATGTTCCGTGTGCATCGAGTGACCAAGATGTGTGTGTGCGTGTGTGTGTGTGTGGGGGGGGTGTTTTCAAACATTTTAAATTACTTGTTATTTCGTTGACTGCTCATTTTGCTTAGTTTCTGAACTAGTTCCAGTTTTGTTCATTGTAGTCCTGTCGGTGTTATTTTCTATTTCTTCAGAAGCCTCGATAATACCATTTGCAACACTTAAACAGACAAACATAAAAAATTAAACTTTATTCAATTTAGAAAATATATTTTTTTTAAAAATGAATTAATTGATTATTTATTCAAATATAGTTATAAGTTATGCAGTATAGTTGTATGTATATTTTATTGAAAATAAAAACGTAATAAAAATTATTAAAATATATCGAAAGTTATTTATTTGGACGGAAGAGGAAACTAAAAGGAAAAGTTGGCGGGAGAAAAACGTTGAACCCAGGATAAGAACTGAACAGTACGGATAGATAGATAACCAATATAAATTTGAGAAGAAAAAGGGTTAATAATGACAGCCCAAAAGTTCTAAAACGGGGCATAAATTTGGGGTTGATTACTGAAAACATTGAAAATCTATAGGCTTCTTCGTTTCAATGGCATAGACAGCCCATATAAATTTACATAGACACGAGGAAAATGTTTCTTTAATGTACCAATAAAAAATGTGACTAACAGACAATCAATAGGCTTCTTCCTTTAATAGGATACGTAACCATTTCTAATGATTGGTGACTGTAAGGGAAACAACTCAAGGAGTTTTACTCCAAATCGTAGAAAGTCAATATGTTTAGAATAGATAACCAGTGTAAATTTCAAAACAAAGCCTTTAAGGTGTTAACAAGATTTCGTAACAAAGGGGAATAACTACCATAATAGACTGATTTAATTCAGATAAAGGACATCGGGTATTCTACCCTTCGTCATGCACGACAACGTTCACTACTTATACCCAAATGCTAACTAGATTTCGTAACAAAGGAGAAAAACTACTGACTAATAGACTGACTTTATGAGATAGGTGGCACGCCCGTGTACAATAAATACCCTTCACTACTTATACCTAAATGGAGCGATAGTTTGTTAAATACACTTACCCTTTGTAATCGTGGACAACTGATCCATTCATTTTAAAATCATCTGGATTTAAAACACCAACTCTAGATGTATGTCGTCCTTTAAATGATACGGTTTTCTTCTACAATAAAATATCACAAAATTAATTTCTTGGCCTTGGAGAAAGAAAATATATAAATGGTTATCTGGTTGTATACATTGTTAGTGTTTCTAAGAACACTGCGCAATAACCTTTTTGACCCAGCACTTAAAAATATTTAATTACCTACAAATCACACACAACACAAATCACATCACGACATTCTTGCCTCTTCTATCTATTGCCACAGTTAGATAGTTTTATGTAACACTGGATTTTACCTTGCACCGCCCTATTGGTATACAATTACAGCTCCATTCTGCGCACATAGAACTATCTACTATAAGCATAGACCTCTGTCCTGAATGGCCGCTATATTGAAAGATGTGTGTACTAATCCTTTTTTAGAAAACTAAATAATCATTTTAATAAATATGAAAATGGAACCGGAATAAATATTTCACAAAATTCTCAAGGTAAACTTTGTGGGTTTTTTTCGACTAAAATCGTTGATTTAGGAATTAAAATGTGGGTTAACTAGCTTCGCGTCTGTTCTCAAGAGGGGCTTATTGTAGACAACGTAATTTTACATTACAGGGATACAATGTATTTTAAAGGAACAACGGGATTGGCACCCAGTTTGGATCAAAGATGAAACCTAGTGAGCACAGAACTATAGATCGCTAAATACCCCTTTCTCAGATTCAGGACTTTGTTGGGACTTATGCGTTATGCATTTTCTATCTTCATAGCCGATGGATGCCGGGTGATCAGGATGGTAGGACTGACGCCTGTATGTTGGCACTCCAATAATAGAATCTCCAGTTTCACTCGGTATCACCAGTAGAATTGGGTTGCTGATTTTCTCTAACTGAAATTTAATAAATATACGAAATGGCATTTTAAGCAGATTACAGAAAATATAATGTACTGCTAGAGAAATATACCTTTAAATATATCAATCACTTCAAATTAACTTCACTGGATATTACATTAAAATGAAACATTTTTATTTAGCAAAATCGATCTAACAATCTGTCATAAAACTATGAATTGGGGATATTTTTGAAATCAAAGGTAGGCGATTAAACCAGATTTAAAATGAAGTTCAGAAACATACCAGAAAGTTTAGTTTTAAACATGTCCAAGGAATGTAGCATGGCCCATGATATTCGTCTCTGGTAAAGGCATTCAGGGCATCCCCTGAATAATAAATATATTTGGATACTTAACAAATGAAAATATTTATATTATGATTATTAATAGTCTTCTAAGTTTGTCTTTATTACGAGACAATCAGATTTGCTTTTCATCTGATTGACCCTAATAGTCTTCCGTACAAATCAATATAAAAACGGAAATAAATTAAATTGTCATAACTCTTACCATGGATTAGTACTACATCCGCCATTTTGGAATTCATTGTAAAGTCTGCTCCAGCAGTAATATAAGCAGATTCTAGTCGCAATTTAATCTTTTCACGTGTGATGCCCTGTGCAATTAAAATCAAAGATTTTTTTAAATTTAAATATCAAATTAGATGAGCTGGATAACAAAATCCGAACATCCACTCGGGACTAACATATCGTACGATTTGATTTCAACAATTTGCTTTAGCAGTGGGAGCAAACCAGAGGACCGGGGAATAACTACTGGCTTGGGCAGGCGATTCTACTCTCGGTCATGCACAAGTTTGGGATCGAAACCACGCCAACATGTTTTGGAAGAGGTGGGCTTGCTTCGTAATTATGAAAAAAATAATAACTGACCTGGTATGAAGGTTGCTCCATTAAAATACCAACAGCTAATCGTGTAGCGCAAACTTTCCATAGTCTATATTCTAGAGTTGGGTCAGTATCATCAAATTCGTTAAATGCTTCTTCCATATCAGCAGTGCTAATAAACAGCGCCTGAGATGGTAATACAATAATTTTAATATATAAACTGCATACACACAATCTAAGATACCACATTATCAACTCTATTATAAACATGGCCTATAACGTATAAAAATATCATCTTAAATATAGTCTAGCGTATCAAAACATCAACTTAAATAAGGCCTAACGTATCAAAATATCAACTATATTATATTCATAGCCTAACCTATCAAAATATCAACTTAAACAGTTTTGCGTATAAAAAATATCAACGTAAACATATCAATTTAAACATAGTCTAACCTTTCAAAATATCAACAAAGCCCGTATCAAATATCAACTGAAACAAAGCTTGTATCAAATATCAACTTAAACATATTAACTTAAAAAGAGCCCAACGTATCAAGATATCAACTTAAAAAAGTCTAACGTATCAAAATGTCAACTGTGTTATAGACATGTCCAGAAGTGTGAACTGAAGTAAAACTATAGTTTCAACCCAGATCAACTCTATTATAGACACGACCTTGACATTAACTCTTATCATAGACATGACCGTGACATCGACTCTTTTATAAACACAGCCTAAAGTATCAACACATCAACTATTTTACAAATACAGCCTAAAGTATCAATACATCAACTGTATTATAAACATGGCTTGAGCATCACCTCTTTTATAAACACAGCCTAAAGTATCAACACATCAACTCTATTATAAACATAGTATAAATATTTGAACTGTTTTATCAACACATCAACTGAATCATAGACATAAACATTTAACTCTTGTATAATCACAGCCTAAAATATCAGCATATCAACAATATTATAACCATCTCAGTATTAACAGATCAGTTGAATTTATTATAAACGTCTCGGTATCAACATATCAATATAGACATATTCTAAAGTATCAACATATCAAATGTATTGTACCCTGATCCACAGAACTAGATGTGCTCTAAATGCTTCAAAGGTCATACCTGCACTGCAGTTTCACACATAACACTGGCCATTCTATTACCATGTGTCAACAAACCCATTTCACCAATTATACTTCCTGTAGACATAAAGTCCATTACTTTATCTTCTGATTTGCTGTCTATTTTTCCCTTCTTGCTTCTAGTAAACTGTAAGAATTAAATATAAAAACACAGTCAATCGGATGGCATAAAAAACACGATTCACCAGTGTACTCGTTGCCGTGCACATACAATAACTCTTATACCCTTCATTTTTATTGGGTTATCTTTTTTTATCAAATTTATTCTTCGTTAAATTCTTCTTTTTTTAAAAAAAATCAAAATGTTTATAACATATTACAATAGTTAAATTGATTTACAAATCACCCTTAAAAATAATAAAAATACTACACTTACCCTGACTAAACCAGAAACAATAATATATATACCATTAGATGGATCTCCTTCTTTTACTATTACATCATCAAAACTATAATTAACTAATTTAGCTCTAGCCTATAACAAATAATATTAGGTAATATCAGTATCAAGAAAATGTTTTGAATTGTCTCATGCTAACCCCCTCATACCCCCCCCCCCATCCTCCTCCTTTCTAATACAATTACAGATTTCCTCTTTTGAATATGAAAAGGCTGTTAATTTTTTGTAAATTAAATATGTCCATTCTTACAAAATTAAATGGAACCAAATTGGCGTTACCTTTATAAAGTCAATGATTTCTTGATCCTGTTCTAACCAAGTAACATTATTTAACATCTTGTCTGGTGGTGGGACTGGGATTTTAGGTGGTAGAGACAACACTTTTTTCATTTTATCCTCTACTTTCTGTCAAAAAAATAAATTCAAGAAATACAATTAGCTCTGAATTATGCTAGTTTTTTTTTTAAAATAAATAATAACATGTTAATCCAATCCATAGACTTGATTTAATGAAGTACGTCAAATGCACCAATTTAAAATGTCGTCGGTTCCGGTTGCACTTTTAAAAGAAGAGCTAATGTTACCAGAAGGAACCTAACAATGAATACAGTCCCACATTGTCATTATACAAATATTTCGCAATCCCGGCTTAACATATTTTTTAAAAGTTTTGGAAATGGTTAATTACTTGGTGTAATTTTTCAGTTTCCGATTCTTGTAAAACACCATCTTCTAATAATTTCTGTATTCCATCTCTTAAACTGTTTAAAACACTTCTCGCTGCTTGCCTTGTTTTAACTGAGAGTGCAATTTGGGGATATTCTTTCTGTAATATACCTATAAATAGAATAAATATTGTAGATTCTGTGTGGAATATAATGTTTATATGTTTAATATAACATTAATACTTTTCTATATAGAATCTGTGGGCGTCAGCAACAGTAACATGTGGCATGGCAGGATGGGCACGTGGGGTGGGGGGGGGGGGGGGGGGGTAACAGTGACAGTGGGGTTTAGTAGATATTACAGATAAGGTCAAAGCTGGGGAGGGAGCTGATGCCCCAATAAAAGTTTGTAGTTTTAGGCGCTTATTGCTCTAAACATTATTTCAATTATGATTCAAATCGACATCTCATATTTCGCCCCTTATTCACCCCTTGCAAAGCTTATAGAGATCAAACTATCTATCATCATTCTATAGTCGATAAGTTCCTGAAAGGTTTAGGATTTTGAGCCGTTTTATTGTTTATATTGTTTGCAATTGGGTTTCTGAGAAAACAAAATTCTGTCGTGAGAACATTTTACTGTATGATAACTCGGTGGCCCTCGGAAAGTTTCCTAAAAATATGAACTTTAAAATATGGAGTTGGTCGATTACGATAAAATAAGTTTACTTTTAAAAGTGAGCACATACTGAATGGAAATTTTTGTCATTAACTACATTACATCCCCGGTCTATTTACCTAGACAACGAATAACTTCAAGTTTCCCATTGTCACTAGTGTTCTTTAAATGTGACGCTATATCTGCATTATCAACCATTCTATCAATTAATTTACGAACTTCTTCTTCTCCTGCTACATAACCTCTTCCCACGTCATAGCCTATACTTATTCCTGTTGTCATCTGATAATCCAGAAATTTCAATATCATATTCAGCATGGCCTGAAAACAAATTTGTATCAAAGTGAGTATTCTCAAGAATTTATCGGAACACGGATTAATTAAAATTTTTATTTAATCAGCCTGAACGTATATAACCTTATTCATTAATATACTCTTAAGGTTTCTTTTATTCAAAGAAAATCGGTGGCATTTATATTTAACCCTCCACGGCTCCAGAAATCGATAAAAACAGATAATATAAAACCAAGAGGTTGTTTTTTATGCGCACCCCAAACTGTACACGGATGGACCTCGGTTTTTCGTGTCATCCGAACGACTAGGCACATTACAGCCCAAGAACGTAAAACCTGACAAGCTAGGCGTTTTCTGTATTCTTCGTCGAATTCCAACAGCCAAGGGCTACTCGGATGGACCCCGGGCTTTATCTATACTCGTTACTCCTCGGTTTTATGAGAAATACGACTAACGAAATGGTAAGTAGCGTTCGTAACCACAAAAAATGGCTCGGAAGTCGTGATTTCTACTGGAGAACTAAAACTATATCGAGTTCACGACATATGACGTAACAAGTTGGCAGTCCAAATTACAGAATTTAAAGTTTTGAACGGTAATTATACCATTTTTGTAGTTAAATGCTTCTTGTGGATGTGCAGATCGATCTGAATACGTGATTTATAGGATTTTACATTGGGATACATTTTGTGAGCAATGACAAGAAACACATGACAAGATACGGCCACATTTTGCAAGAGATGGATAGAGAACAAGCTAAAAGCAAAAGCGATTTTTCGTACAATCAGGGGCCATAATTAAGAAAGTTATGGGATGAAATGCGCAAATATCGAAAAGGACTGGGATCGTTGGGGTATAAAGATATATTTTAACTTTCATCAAAATCGGAAAAAAATTGTGACAAGAGGGCCCACAACCTTCGAATTACATACTTTTACACAATTTGCGTACAAAGAGCGACCATTTCGTCGTTGCAGTTTCATTTCGATTTTCCCGAAATTGGAATTCAACCTTCATTGTGATGAAATGGAGATATATTTAAACGGTTTTTAAAATCGGATAAACATTGTGACCTCTAGAGAACCCACAAGCTAAAAAAACACGATTTTTCGTACAACCAGGGGCCATAATCCAGGAAGTTACAGTCTGATATGCGCGAATATCGCAAGGAACCAAGATCTTTGGGGGATAGACCTATATTTCAAGTTTCGTCAGAATCGGATAAAAATTGTGACCTGTAGAGTCTCCACAAACAAATTGTGGACGGACGGACGGACAGGGGCGACGGTGGGTGTATAAAAATGTTCCATTAGCGTGAGAGAAAAGGGGGGTTTGGGATGGCCTAGTGGTCTAGAGTGTCACGTTTCGAACTCTAGCTGGCCGTTCACCTCTGACTTGCGGTTGTGGTTTCGATCCCTGGTGTGAGCGTATGTGGCTTGGAGATAGGGACGCCTTCTCAATTTCGTGCGCTATGATAATGAAAATTTAAAAAAAAGACAACTTGTCTGCGATATCACCTTCGATGGAAGCGGACATTAAATAAAGCTAAGAGAAGATGTGAGAGAAAACTCGGCACAAACTAGGTCTTTTCGGGACTAACGAACGTTTCTTTGAATTTAAATTGTCTACACACCGAAAAAAATAATTAGATATTACCAATAGACCTATGCTAAGCTAATTGACAGTGCCGCTCATCGACATTTGCATTTTTAGGACAATAGGCCCTATCTAATTTTTCAGGCTTAATGTACAATAAACTGTTCTCAGATTGATTATTTAACATTTAATTAAGAATAAAACCCAATATAGGCCATCAACGGTGTATGTAGATATTTTCCTAGCTTGAATTGGATTTAAAAGAGGGCCATCAAAAGACTTACCAATACTTAAGGGTTACACTGGCTTGTTTATATCGTTTGCATTGGATGCGGAACGCTGATAAATTTTCAATTTATCATATCTTTGTAAATACTGAACAGAACTGAACCTTCTTTGGACTGATATTCCTTTCAGCGATTTAAATTTCACAAATGGTGATTAGCGGTTTTAATAATCCTTGAAGTGATAATGGCGACCACGTTGATTTTCCCATTTGTGCCCCCGAACACGATAAGTATGGTATTTACTATTTCCTAGTAGGAAACACCATATTTCCAAGCGGTAACGAATACAGCATTAATTCCATCCGAGGTCCATCCGAGAGATTAGCGATGCGCAACTATTAAGACAAAACTGAATAAAAACGGAACGCCTTACCTCAATAAATCGAAGTACACGAATACACCTGAAGATAATAAATATCAAAATGACGTATTCCTTCGAAGGAAATGAAAACTCCAAAGCCACGTCAATAATTCCATGAATAATGATTATAAAACTGATTATTTGCCATACAAGCTTAAAATATTCTCCTCTCTGCGTTATGACCTGTAAAATATAAATAGAAAATAGTCGAATATCCAGTTATTGACAATTTATGTAGATAACAATAGTAAAAGTTGTTGAACGGTCTATTAAAGGGTTCACAGGTTGAGACAATAAACAAATGACCATGTAACGCTCTGGGCAATATCGGATTTACCTATAGACTTGGCAGACTGAAGCATAGGGCCTCAAGATCTAGGGGGCTATACGGTCAAGATGTATAATACATTTAATTTAGGAACTCTCATAAGCCTTCTTTGCATGTACTGTAATCTTAAACATCCGTCATCACCCTCGATTTTACTCTATTGTGTTTAAACACAATTTCATCTTCTTCTAGCCGCGAGGGTTGGGATTGGGACGGTCTCATAAGTCGAATGGCCCAGGACATACCTCATTTATCGTACTGATAAAGTTAGCGTTGAGTTCCGGAAACGAAACGAAACGAAATGGGGTTTAACGTCCTACTGTTCTGCTGGTAACCTGGGCTAATGAAGACGGGCATACGCCATACAGTGTGCTATGAGGGAAATTTTGCCCGGGCAGCGGCGCTACGGCCTACTCTTATATCGAATTCAAAATGCCAAGGGATCTTTTACGTGTACGTCAATGTGTACACGGGACCTCGGTTTTTCGTCCCATCCGAACGACTAGCCAGCTGTCCTTGTTGAGTTCCGGGCTTGCTAATCACCGACAAGAGCACCCAAAGTATTGCCAAAAGTGACCGACAGACACACGTAACTTGATGTAGACATATTCTATATATCATATCCAAAATTTAATTGATATCATAAAAAGTGACGAAATTACGGATTCCGTAATTTACGGATTCCGTAACAGCACTATTACGCTACTTAATTATGGCAATCGGCAATCGTGCCTCGTCATTCTATGATCCATAGACTAGACTGTGAGTGTGACACCATCCTTCAAAATCAAGATTTCCAAGTAACTATTTCATTCAGAGGAAGTCTCCTACGATGGATAGATCGTCTGAAAACGTTTCACTCGACAATGTAATGGCATGTCTATAGCACAGCGGAGGTCATCCAAACTACCAAAATACGCTGAATGTTTATAAAACAAATCTTTTTTATAAACTGCATATACTGAATTTTTTTTTACCTTAGCCAGGAACTCAAAAATATAGATGATGACAAATGTCGCATTGATGGACCGGAAGTAGATCCTGTAGTCATGCCACTGGTCAGCTCTTTCACTGACTAACGACAATATCCAGTTGACCATATCAAAGGCAAGGATGATGTAAATACAGATACGAAATGGCCTGGATACTACCACCACAAATAATCTACTTATAAAAGGATTGTTTGAACAACATTGTGGAGTTTTTTGAATGAGGTTCTTCACTAGTTTTCTCTGAAACAAAGAAATGAAATGAAATGAAATGGGGTTTAACGTCCTACTGTTCTGCTCCGAATTGGGCTAATGAAGACGGGCATACGCCATACAGTGTGCTACGAGGGCAATTTTGCCCGGATAGCGGCACTAAGGCCTGCTCTTATATCGAATTCCAACTGTCAAGGGATCTTTTGCGTGCACGCCAATGTGTACGCGGGACCTCGGTTTTTCGTCCCATCCGAACGACTAGACAGCTGTCCTTGTCAGTCCCTCCCGAAAAAAAGAAATAGTAAGCCTATATACATAGTGAACTTAAGAGTACAGCATAAGAAATAATGAGTAAAAATTTGTTGATATAGACTAGCAAATGTATCATAAAAATTTGTAGATGTATGATTACATGAGCTTGAATATTCATATAGCTTAGACGCAAAGCTATGCTTTGTTTATTTCGCTTTTATAAATGGATACCTCAAGAACTTGTGTTTCTTGTACCAACCATTGATTTAGGTCCATTACAGTTGTGGGGAAGAATTGCAATGGAGTGGATAATCATCAAATTTCCCTTAACGATCTAGAGCATATCCAAATTAAGATGTCCAGTAGAGGGACAGCAGTGGCGGAACCAGGATTTTCAGCATAGGCGTGGGGTCCAGAAATTCCAGATTTCCATATTGAAGCGTTGACGTGACAATTAGCGATAGACAAAATTTGGAAAATTGCAACACCGCAGATGCCATTTACGACTATTTCTGGTCCTGGTCCCCTGAATTGAGTTTGAGAAAAGGATGTGGGTGCATTTGAAACGTTTTGATTAAATCTTACAATTATTTTTTAAAAAATTCATTAAATTAACTTCAAATTGTTTCTTACTAGTTTAAGTAATACTTTGGGTATCTTCCACGATGATTTAACGTCATTAGGATCTATAAATCTGGAATGAGACATGTAAATAATAAAACACAATATATTTTGACATTAAAATACAAATCAGTGATAAGTCGACTTATTGATCGAGGTGCAGTGCACGAGTTTATCTCCACTATACTTCATTAAATGACGTCCATCCAAATATACTCTTCAAAAGAAGTAGGGGATATTGAAATGCAAATACCTATGCAGGTTGTGATATGATAAATAGTCATGGACATTTGACATGCTTTGAGAGTATGTTCACAGATGAAGAACTTATCGCCCCAACAGAACTAGGGTTAATTTGATTTTTTTGAAGAGTATATAATTCAACTGCTACAGTGTTCCTCGTTTAATTTTCGAAATTCAAAACGCTAAAGAGATTTGTCGTAAGTTAGCGTTTCAAATGAAATGAAATGGGGTTTAACGTCCTACTGGTTAGGGTTTGAACATCTTGACTAGTAATCCGGTCATTGACCATTGTCCAGGGGCTATCTAGTATTGTCCATTATCAGGCGAGACGTGTAAGAGTGTTCTTTTGTACCAATTATATAACTTGGGCTATTTAACCGGCCAAAAGCAGCACTGCGAGTATTGTAGGAAAAGAGTATAGGTTCTTTTGTAACGGATTAGTATAGTAACTTATAGGCTTTTAAAAATTCTAAGTTTAAATTACGACCTACTCTTACATCGAATTCCAGCAGCCAAGGGATATTTTATGTGCACGCCAATGCATACACGGGACCTCGTTTGTTTGTCCCATCTAAACGACTAGACAGTTGTCCTTCTTAGGCTCTCCGTCCTGCACCACTGACAAGGGGAAACCACCGAGATCGAACCCGCGATTTCCAGGCTAGCGAACCAGCGTCTTATTCACTTAGCCGCCGTGGCTCCCCTCTTAGTTTAAACAAGCACTGGAAGTACTGTAGGAAAAGAGTATGGGGTTCATTTGAACTGAGTAAGTAGGTTCAAACCAACATTGAGATTATTGTAGGAAAAGAGTATGGGTTTATTTGTACTGAGTTAGCTACAAAAATAATGGGAATTGAACGATTATTGATTCTAACATACCTAGTACATCTCTCATTACTGGGAAGTCGTTTTGAGTGACGTCCACAAACACCTAAAGATACTTACTACAACATCCATTACTAAGTGTCGACAGTTGGGCATGGATTAAGTCCGAAATTAAAGAATATTTAAAACTTACGCTCCCTTTTTATCGGATGCTACTTCAGTAAAACCTTGCAGTGTACGAACTGATTCTCGGGATAACATGCCTTGTTCAAACTGTCTCCAATAACTTAACTTAAATGAAATAAATCAAAATTAAATTTAAAACGGCATGATTTCTATTACCCTCCTTATAGCATTCATAAGTATCATATATGTTAACCATACCTCGTAAGGCTCAACTGGTCAAAATTCTAATAAGAAATAATGTTCTCGACCCCGTTCATAAAATGAATATACAGACTGTTCAAATTGTCAACCAATGAATATAAAGCCACCAACAGCTTAGAGAAAGGAACCAAGAATGTCTATTAATGTCATTCTGCAAATTAAATTAAGGGGACTAATTTGGAGGGGGGAGGATTGTTCGATCGTTTACAGATATTATTAATCACAGTTCTTGCCTAGAGATCAGCCTTCCACTACACTAGGAACATGTACGGACTAGCTATAATCTGTGGCCTTTGAAACTCTAAAAATGGCCAACACTTTTGTATGTCGGGAGAGCATTATTATAGCTATTTTCATCCTTGCTTTTGTATTTCCTATTCATATGAAATAGAATCTTCAGACCAGAGGATTTAGTGATCCCCTGCGTAATATATATTTACAATTTGATTAAAATACAGATCTATATTTCGTTTCGTTTTTTTACACATTCGATGGCCTCTACTACGTGAAGATCTGACCAGATGTAGTGGGGGTTCGTGTCAGGGGTCATACGAGCGGCTTTTGACCCTATGACACCGGACACTTGATTAACCAGCGTTGATGTTTCTAGGATACCCACAGTTCCGTACATCGCACGCCAAGAACTCGCTTCAACAGACCGTTTCCAGGTAGTAAAATCGAAGATAAATTAGTCCTTTATGAGGTCCTTGAGACTAAAAAAACAAGATTTATTTTTTAATTTCACGCTTAGTGGCTATTTTCATCAAGATTTATTTTTATTATTCCACGCTTAGTGGCTACTTTCATCTTTTATTTCATATTTTGCTGTTCACATGAAATATCAGATTTTCAGAGAAGAACATTCTCTACGTGTAGATAAATTACTCTGCAAAGAATGGCTTTGGTTAAAAGGAGATGCCGTGTGCTGGTTGATGTAATGTAGACATAGATTATATATCACACAGTCTTTTTTAATGAAAAAGTTAATGGCATAGGTTCAATAAAACCTGTTAAGTTATTGTTATTTTCTACTTATATTTCAAAGAACAAATCCTTTGAAGCTATCTATTAACAAATAATGATGTCGAGAGTTAATCTAACCATATAACATATTCTATTTTACCCAATAAGACTTACAACTGAGTTACTTAGAGAGCTATTGATTTTCAGATTCACTAATCTCGAATGTAAGAATAACATCTTTTAACGGGATTAAATTTCTAAAGAATTTCCGTTTCAAAATATTAAAAGAAAGTCAGTTGATTTTCTAATTTTAGTTTCATTTTTATACACCCACTCGAAGTTTGGGCGTATGGAGGCTACAATTTTTAACAGATGTTTTTCATATGTGGTGTACGGTATTTGGACCAGAGAAAATTAATATAGGCCTGGCCTGTTTCACAATCCTTTTCTAAGAACAAAACATTGTTTACATAAAAAAGCAAATCAACACACCCGACTTAATTAAATTGGCACCTATATATTTGTTTAGACATTTTGTATTATGTGAAAAACCGAGATATATCCATACAATTAACGAGAAAAGAATCAGTTAAGACCGAAGATAGGACAGAACAGTAGCTTTTTAAACATGCAATATACAAGAGCTAAATCTGCCTATTGCAGGTCTTTTTTTAGGCCGGAAATGTTATCTAAATTATCAATTAGACCTTAATTAACTGTTTCAGTTAGTGGATTTGAATATATTTTGTGATGGATACTTTAACGTAAAAATGGATAATCGAGACTTTGTTTATAATAGAACCAACGTTAGTAATGATGACCGAGGCTAGCTGAAAATTGAATCGTTAATTGGCTGAAATTTTCAACATTTTCTGTTTTCATTAACTATTTTTGAACTGTTAGAGCCAGAACTATCAGCTCTTTCTCTGATCTTACCTACCGCCCCCTTTAAAAAAGACATGACAAACTCCTACATTTCATTGTTTATAGTGCGAGAGCAATTGGGTTTAACGTCCACTCGACACAAACTAGGTCATTTCGGGACTAACATATGGTTCAATTTTATTGCCATAATTCGCTTGCACGTAGGGGTCTTTAGCAGTGGGAGGAAACCGGAGGACCCGGAGAAAACCTACGAGGTTGGACAAGCGACCCTACTCCTTGCCACGTACAACCGGGGAATCGAAACCTCGCCAGTTGACTCAATGACAGACTTTATGATACAGCGCGCACGTGCTAACCATTCAGCCATCCATTCCCCCACCATTGTTTATAGATGTAAGTCGTACGCGTTACTCTGTTTAATTATTAATTATGTAGAACTGTATCTACCCGATTAGCATGCTCAGTTTTGGAAGTTTGGTTTCTGGAGTCGCGTTCAGTGGATGAGTACAGGAGAGATATGGGAATGGTTGCCCACGGAGTGAATCCCCTGGTCTAGGTTTGCATGCACCGTACCAGTATTGCATGTTAATGCAGGATTATGTGTTAGCATTACATATGCACTAGTTACTGATGTAAATAAAGTTTATGTTTTCAACGCTGGCCGTCTATTATAAACTGGTGATGTCACAATTAGCCTATAAGAAAAGTTGAAATAGCGTCTCATATTTCACAAGTCAAGCGGTGATATGATAAAGAAGATGTATCTAAGAGACTATTGAACCGTTTGTATATGATAGCCAAAATTCATTGGAGTAAAGTTATCCAGACACTATAGAAGTTGTCATATGATAACCGACCGTTTGTGCTTCCTCAAATAATTGCCACAGCGCTTGAGATAATAGCCTGGGAATACGTTATTGTGTTTATAAATGTTCAGCACAAAATTAACTAATATACCTGGGACGGCTCATTTTAAGGACTTCCTTAATTTGTAACAGTCTACCTACTTAAATGTTCAATTGAATTTTTATACTCACTTTCTCTGCTTTTAATAACCTAAGTATAGCCTCATCAGTCATATCGCCCAGTTCTTTCTGTGTTGGTTGTATAGGTAGACAAGAGTTGCAGTCAGGACAAATTGCTTTGGGACGGATTTGTTTTTTCGCCAGTTCAAGCTGAAAATGATAAAAATCTAAAATTAAAATCGGGAGAAAGCAACACCATATAGTATGCCCAATGTTAGCCTATTAGTACCCCCTGGGTAATTACATGTATGGGGATATGTATGTAAAATGCACCATGCTCTCGGTCATTTCCACAGTTTTTTAGAGGTAATTCTATCGGTATGTGGCGGCATTATAATTTCTTCAAGGGAGTGGTTTCTGTTTGCTGAATAATCTTCGATCTTGAAATTTAGTGGTAATGTCCCGTAGGGTGTTTCTACACATTGGTGCATTGTTAAGAGGCTATTCTGAACTTTATAATGTATCACTGGAGTTAAAGAAGTTATGCTAAGCGTTTACTATTTTGTAATTAAACAGTATTCGTGTTTGAGAAACCCCTCGTCCTTGAATTTTTGCTCTTCGAACTGTTTGTCCCCCAGCACAAAGTTAAAGCAACATCAATCGGGAAAATGCATCCAATTTTTGCTTCTTGTGATAAAGACCTCCTCCTCGCTGACCTCGTATATGCTGTAAAGAATATATCTTCGGCTTTACAGTGAATTTCAATCCCTAGGGTTTTACTTTTTTCAGCATAATCTTGAAGTCTTGCTGCTTCCACCTCATAATAATCACCTGGCAGGAAGGGGCCCAGATGACTGTAAGAGTCATTCTACACTACTCTGGTCCCCAATCCCACCCACCACAGACCAACGTTGTCCACTACCCGTCTTAGAAGGATATTTAAGGATCAAATAACATTATGTAAAAATCAAAAGATAATAGAACAATTATCATACCTCGTCTTTTGATGTTTTATAAGGTGATGTTATTTCACAAGATCTTTCAACCAGTTCCCAATCAGAATCTGCCAGAAACCTATATGTACGTTAAAAAATGCCAGTTAATAATTTTCTTGAAAGAACTGTATGCAGTTACTGCACACTGTCAGTCTAGAGTCTAAAATCAAAATTTGAACAACCCAAGCCATTTACCCCCTAAATGTTGCTGAAATAGATCAAGTGGTTTTTGAGAATATGCTATGAACCGTATAAGTTCCTCTTTTATTTCTGGTTGCTGAAATTTGCATTGGCTCCTTTTTGTATAAACTTAATCTGATATCAGCGCTCCCACTTCAAAATTTTCACTGTCGGTCATTTTTGATATTATTATTATTATTATTATTATATTATTATTATTATCATTATTATTATTGAAAAATTTGTAAAGCGCTTAGCTTCCACTGTTAGGTGCCCATATCCGCTGTACACAATTAAAAGATACATAAATAAAAAGTAAAACACAGGTTACAAAACATCTATAGAAGTAACATTTAAAACGTTTATATAAAAGCTTCTTTTAAAAAGGATGAGCGGAGGCTTCGTTTAGGGGTATACAATTTAAGGAGTTCTGATAAATATGCAGGACAGAGGTTGTTGAGACATTTGTATGTAATTTTAAACTTAATTCTGTATTGAATTGGTAACCAGTGAAGGCTGTACAATATTGGAGTAATATGAGAGAACTATTTTGTTTGTGTTGTTATTTTTTTTTACTTTTTGGAGTTTATAAATTACTGTAAGAGGAAGTCCAGATAACACGGAATTGAAATTATCTAGTCTAGAGGTAACATATGAATTAATTAGAGTTTTTGTTGCATCATTATTAATGTATTTTCTTATTTGACCCATTTTCCTCAAATAATAGTAACACACTTTACAAATATTATTTACTTGTGCTTTCATGTTCATATTTTGGTCGAATATAACGCCTATGTTTCTAGCTACTTTAGAGCACATAATTTGACAATTCCCGACATAAATATCTTTAGTATCTGAAATCTTGTGTAACTGCTGTTTAGATCCAATACATAAATATTTAGTTTTGTCAGAATTAAGCTTTAGAAAGTTCGATGTCATCCATGATTTAATTTCTATTATGCAATTTCCTAGGTTATCTTTCGCATGAACAGAGTTATTATTTAGAGGTTTAAGAGAACAATACCGCTGTATATCATCCGCATACAGGTAGAATTGAAGACCATATTTCCTTACAATAGAACCAAGCGGTTTTGTATACAGACTACAAAGTATTGTCCAATGAGAGTAGTATGTCGTTGTGAACTCGTGTAAGTGCTGTTTCCGTACTATGACACTTTCGATACGCACTTTGGAATTTTTCCAACAGACAGTTTTCCTCAACATATGTTGTTAATTGATTTTTTAAAATCTTGGAGATGAAACAAAGGTTGGAAAGTGGTCTGTAATTTTTTAATTGCCCAGGAATTGCACGAAACCAGGATAACGCACAAAACCTTTGCAAATTAGCTTCATATACCTTGGCGCTATATAGCACAGTAAATGAAATTGATATATCAATTTGGCATCTGCTGATGATATCATTTAATGACAAGAATCAATGGTATATTTTGTGGCGCAGCTGCTCATTCATGATGTTTTAATTCTACGAAGTATGTATTAACATGAATCTCATGTGAAAGAATTTGTGTACACATGGCTATCTATAAGCACACGGGGATAACGAGAAATTTGAGACTTATTGCCAACTCCATATCATAACTGGACATTTACATGTTTGGGGAAAACACCCACAGAGATTCACACAATTGTGTAGAACTAGCACAAAGGATTCTTGTATAATTAGAACAAAGGATTCTAAATTAGAGTTGTCCACACATAATTTACTCATTTAATTATCAAATAGAATGTTGGTATTTAAGACACCGAAGACATAAACTTAGAAACCCATATCTCAGACTGTGAAGGACAGGATTAATTAACACAATCACCATAGCTATAATGGAACAGTCCTAATTAGTGTACTCCACTCAATTACTCTCTGTTCCAGTCAATACTCTGACTCTAAAATTGCTCGCCATTTCTTCAATTTTTTATATAAATGGCGAAAACTTAGTGACATAGATGGAAAATCCATTATTCTCTTGTAAATTTTTCGACATCGTCAATTTCATTTGTTAGAAAATAAACATTACGACTGTGTCTGCGTAAATAATTATTGATACAAAATATTATTTTATCTCAATTTAGCTAATATATCTGGATAGTCCCCGTAAATAAGCAGAGCACGGCGAGAGCCGATTTTCGATTTCCGTTTTCCCGCAATTTTTATCTAAAAGTTTAAACATAACCATTTTGAAGGGCATATACCTTTGTTCATTTTTAATATTCTTATCTTATACATTTATATACACGTATGATTAATATACAAGATCAAACGAAAATCCATGAATCGCTTTGAATTTTTTCCATTTCCGAGAAATAGGCAATTTTGTCGGGGTCACAGGGGTATAAGGGTGGATGCATTATGTCAGTATGACTGGATTAAGGAAAGTGGAAATTAGCCACATCGCAGAAAGGCACACCACAACCGTAACAAAGTTCGGCAGACTTGCACACACTGGAGAATTCATAAAAAATTGACTGTCACAAAATAAGAGAACATGAAAGAAAAATAGAAAAAGTCCATGCATTACCATGAATAGAATGAATCAACACACGTGAATGTACTGACTGCTTCTATTTTTCTCGTGTTCTTTTATCTAATGACATTCAATTACTTTTCTGAATTGTCAGATATACTCTTACAGTCTCATATAACAACTTTTGGTCTTCGAAAGAATTATTAGTGAGCAGAAATTCGCCCATGAATCTTTTTCTCACTCGTCACTTCAGTCAGTTATATAGAGGGATAACTCGTGTTTTCCTTTTGCGTTCGTCACTTCCGATCGTTCAAGCGTTGATTACGCATCTATCGTAGCAATGATCTGTGAGATAAAATAATATTTGGAACGTGTTTTACCAGTTCTATCACATATGTGATAATGACTGGCACCAATATTGTCCTTTAACTCATTAATTCAGCGAGGGGTAAAATAAAAGTGACGGATATCTACCTGTCTGTCTTTAACATATTAAGAGTTTTGTGTCTGAGCTCCTGAAGATGTTTCATGGCACTCGCCATTGCCATTCTCTTGGCAATAGATATATCATTCATTCCTTTAAAATAAGAGAACCACAAATAATTGGAAACTAACCAACAGTGAGGCTGATGTCTCATCCGCACAAGCACTATCGAAAATAAAAGACTGACATTTAGTTTTCCACTGCTTGATTTTAAATTGCCTGACAATTCGAAACTTTACAATATACACCTACCCAATGTTTTCAACAAGTAAGGAATTGTTGTAGCATTTATCAGTAAAGTCAGAAATACGATACCGGAAACATGAATCAATATCTACAATATAAAGAAAGACATATTCCATTGCTTTAATACGAAAAAGGCTTCATATGAAGACCGTGGTGATATACAAAGAAATACTTAAGGGTGTTGACATGGCTATCACTCCCAGATATTTCACCTTAAACACCTGGGGCCTGTTTCACGAAATTTTAATTAAGATAAAATCCAAATTTTAGTAATTTGATTGGATAATGTTAGATTGATTTTAGTGCTTAGCCAATCAAAATTGAAGTATCTACTAAAATTTGGATTGTATCTTTAGTTAAAATTTCGAGAAACAGGGCCCTGGTTACAAAAGACTAATTCTAAATATTTTCAGGAAAACCCTCAAGATGATTAAAATTTTAAATATTGTTCAGAGTGCCATATTATTCACTAAAGCCAGTCTCACACGAGTGTGCCGCTATCCTGGTATTTGAGTAGGTTAATGTGCTCTGGTAGAGACTGCAGTAGCTCAAGGTACGTGTCGGTAGTTGGATGGCGTAAAGGTACCACGTGGATGTAGCAAAAGCCGCGTCATTTTTTGAATTTTGCCAAAATCCGCGTTAACGCCAAGGTGAAGCAAATAGTAAAGCTATGGTAATATAAACGTCTATATATTTCTATGAGCAACACAGTGTTGAAAGATATGAAGCATGCGCTACCGCAGTAGTTACGTCATGTTTGTGTAGACTTTTGGGATACCTGACGGCCCAATTCCACCTGCGGTGACGCCATAGTTATACATTGATTGGTCGTGTTTGCATTAGCCCTTAATAAAATATACCCCGCACGGCGATTATTGTGAATATTGTGGCACATACTAGAAAACGATTAAACAAATAAAAGATAAGCACAACGGAATCCCAAATTTGAGATATATGATGTTTCTGAACAATATAGAGTATTAATGCTACCAATAACTCGCCTTTGTTTGACATGATTACTAGTCTTTAAATGTGGGTAGTTGGCGCAAGGTGTGTGCAAGTCGGTGCAAGGTGTGTTTCTGAACAATATGGACGAATAAAGCCGAGCTGAGTGAAATCGTATGTACCATTATACAATTGTCCTTTCTAAAATTTGAGATAATTACTGATTTTAGATTTGATTCATTACCTTAACTCGTACTTTCTCCAAGTCTAAAAGGTTATTCTCCATCACCAACAAACCCAATGCTAGACCAACAGCACCACGTAAACCGCCCCATGTCAAAACAAGGCCTTCTTGCCATGTCAAGCCGTAACCTATTCTTTTTAGTATAGGACTAAATACTAGCGTGACAGCGGCCCTGATAAAACAAACATATAGAAGATGGTAACTTGGTATAAGTCTTGACACTATAAACATGTTTGGGTATTTCCCTGAGTCGGGATAAAATTCGAAAGTGAGTCTTGACACACCTAATCTCTGGTTTACCCCACACTGTCATGCATGCATTTCTGACTTACTCGCGGCATAACATTTGAATTTACCACACACTGCCATCCATGCATCCCTGACTTATTCTCGACATAAAATTAGACAGTTGATCGTAAAACCCCCAACATCGGGTTTACCATACACTGGCATACATGCATTTCTGACAGACTCTCATAACTGTAGTACCTATAGCCCAACCATGACACCTGACCACCGTTCATGAACCAACAATTACAACATTGATGCAGTCCCAACAAGTGCTGGGATATTATCATATTGATATATTGTGAAACTAACCTGATAAATTGTAACCCCAGGTATAACGCAATCATATAAAACCAGTCCACACCGTGTATAAGAGAGATGGCTCTTTTTGCAATTACCACACCGACAATTATGAAGATAAGAGTGTTGGCTAAATAAGCCAAAGTTTCCCAAAAACTGAAAATAAGCAAACCATATTTGTTAGAGAAAACTAATAAAATAAAGGCTGGTTATTTTTCTCCTTGAACATTAAACAGTCGCAAAATCCATTGTAAATAGAGAATCTCCTACCAGTCTTTTTTGATATCCAAAAATATCAACACAAGTCGATAAAGTAACAAAAAACGAGGCTCTGCCGAGTTTTTTTTTACTTTATCAACGAGTGTTGACATTTTTTTATATCAAAAAAGACGAGTAGGAGATTTTATTTATAACCCAATCCCTTCTTACATGCACAAATAGATAAATATAATTCTTTGCTGTTGATTTCACTTTTACTGAACATTACGGCGTAGTGATATATCATCATTTTTTGACAGCAATTCAACCATTCCAAAGTCCTTTATATTGACCCAGTGTTTCCATCAAGGTCGATTGAATAACAATAGTTCATTTTTAATTTAAAAAAAGTTACTTTTAATAAGAAATGAACTGTTCTTTGAAAATAAAAAAAAGTAGTTCCTTTTCAACTGACCAATCAAATTCATGTAAAGCGATATCTCCTAAGGAGATATCGCAGTAGATTATGAAATATATCACACAAGCGATATCTACTGTAGAATGTATTATTGGGTGATAAAATACGCTTTGTGGTCCTCGCGAAGATCTAAATCCTATGTATTTTTACAATTAGTGCATGTTTTATAACATAAAAATAACACATTTGGAAAGTATAAATAATTGAGCTTTGAATAGTATAAGCAATTGTCCTTATATATTACCTGTGTAAGAAGGCCTCAACTTCGGGACTGATACTGGTTTTCATACTGCTCAAGGCTACACCTAAAACTACAACAGCTAACACACCAGATACTTCCAATAATTCTTCACCTACGAGAAATATGTCTTGTGTCAGATTTGTATCATCCAATTCCCGATTCTTCACATTTTAGAGTAAAGCGAAATTAAAATCAAAGCTAAAAACTACACTAAAATAGCAGATTTTGAATTGTGAATAAAGGAATTCGAGTTCAAATTCAAATAAAATAAAAGGAACTCGATGTCATTACCGATATAAAATGTAGCATACGTAGAAGCTAATGTTATAGTTATTTCCACCATGACATCATTAAATACATGAGTCAAACACAGAATAGTTATAATCGCCATTAATAAGCCAAAAGCTGGTCCACCAATGGCTACTCTTAAAAAATATACGGCAATTTCACCACCTGAAAATAAATATATATATACTATTAATTAACCTGCCGATTTCTTCGTTACTTTTTATACTTTTATAGAAAATAATATGGTATAATATTATAACCATTCTCGATCACCGTATGTAAGGGCTACCATAAAAATTCACAAAATCCCCATGAGAGCCCGTCTATGAGTGTGTTCCCGAGATTCAGTCTTCTACAACACGGTCCCGTGCTTATCAAACCAACTTGACACAACAACATCGTTCTTCATTAAAGATTCGGGTGAATTCTGTGAGAAACTGCAAATGGTATCGTATGATGTTGTAGATGTGTTTACCAATGTACCTAGGGAAGAGGCTCTGAGGATTCTACTCAAGCGCATTGATAGCTTAGATACCCCACTGGAAACCTCCATACTCATGTTGAAACAATGCATCAGTTCAACCTCTTTCTTCTGGGGTGATGACATTTTCGAACCAACCATTAGCTCGTTTACGTAGAGTAGTGGTCTGCTCTAGTATGCACTTAGTATAGATTTTACTGCTTGGAGATTTTAAGTTTGCATGATTGTATTCTACACTTCAATGGTGGAGTTTTATTATTATACACTGTTATTTTGGCTTAACCATTCAAGGCCACTACATGGTTTGTTTGTACCACTGACACTAACGGAATTTTGCAAGCATCTTTATTGAGGCACATGCTATTACTATTTGTAACAAATGACACCAATCTAACAATCTAATAAAAATAAACATTCCATACCGGTTAACCCGTTTGTTGTAGTTGATAAAATAAGGAATATATTGAAGAACACAATAGCAGCACCATCATTCAACAAAGATTCACCCTCAATCATTATTGAGAGCTTTTTGGATGCCCCTGAAACATAAATGTTGAAACATGCCTATTACGTGTATATACAGTCTTTATTATTCTTAACAGGGCATTGAACTTTTTAAGTTTTTCCGAAAACTGAAAGGAAGTATTTCATATCATTCTATATGCATTAGCTGGGGCCACAGTCCGATTTAATAAACCATACATACCGACTTCTCTAAGTATAGCAACTACTGCAACAGGATCTGTAGCACTCATCAAAGAACCAAACAGCATTCCAATATTCCAATCCCAGTTGTAGTCAAATAAATACTGTGCCATAATACTTATTAACACAGACGATAAAGCTGAATGATAAATAGAATGTTATTTCGGTTTAATCTTTTAAAATCCAATGAATGATAGCTATCAGAATAATCCCTCCCCATCTTGCTACCATATATAAAGTCGCAGCTATAAATCCCCAGATCGAGTTAAAGTTAGTTAAACATACATTATGCAAGGGCTAAATCTGCCTATTGTAGGTCTTTCTTTGGGCCTGAATTATTATATAAACGATGAATTAGTCATTTTTTAAAATGGAAAAACCTTAATCAACTCTCGATGTCATCTTATGTGTCGAATTTTCTCTGGATTTGAATCCGATTCGCTGCTCAACGCTCAATGATGATATAATCCAAAAATGGATAATCGAGACTATGTTATTTTATCGTACCGACTTTAGTAATGATGATCGAGGTTAGGCCTATTCTCTTTACATTATCTAGTTTTTAACTATTATAGTGAGAACTGCCAGCTCTTTATCTAATATTCCATAGTGTATCTTTAAGTAATTCGAATAAGGATACTGCAACATATACTGATTATTTTTTTAAAATGAATTGAAATTTAAAAACAACAATATGTCGAGCTTCACTATATCTCTCCAAATTAACGAATTTAATAACGATTAAAGAATAGAATGAAAATATTACCTAATCCGGGAACTGCTAATATTAAAACTTGAGCTGAAGTTTTCTTAAATGTATGAAAATCTAAAGCAAAAGCTGATTCAAATAGTAAAACGGGTAAAAATGTGTGTAGTATAAGGTGAGGATTGGCATCAACAAGGGTCGCATAACGTTCTAAAGCCGGAACAGCATCAGATATAGATCCAAATATAACACCCAGCAGCAGTAAAACCACAGTATAAGCCAATCGGACGGGAATAAATTTCATCACTTGTCGCATTAAAGCTGAAAAATATTTGATGATCATATTTTGTATAAAATGGTAAGTGATCATATTTTGTATAAAATGGTAAGTGATCATATTTTGTATAAAATGGTAAGTTGTATAAAATGGTAAGTGATCATATTTTGTATAAAATGATAAGTGATCATATTTTGTATAAAATGGTTAAGTGATCATATTTTGTATAAAATGGTTAAGTGATCATATTTTGTATAAAATCGTAAGTGATCATATTTTGTATAAAATCATAAGTCGTTTGGATGACTAAAGATATTAATTTTATACAGGGAGATGCTTTTATTACCAACATTTTTTGTAGTTTGTTCGTTTGAAGTCAATGGATTGGAATTGGGATTAATGTCTCGTCAACACAACACTTGGGACAAACATATGGTTGTGTGTACAAAGCGATGTATAAAATTTGTTCGAAAAGCCGTGTTACCACCTTCAGCTCTTTAATTTTCATCAGAAACGTGTTCTGTGCTTGCCAATGTGTACACGGTTTTCCATTTCAATCGAAAGACTTGATACGCTTTCCTTATCAGCCCTGGACGTCTTATGTACATCCTATTTATGCATAGAAATTATATTTGCTATTCGAAATCGAAAAATATGAACTTATAAAAGTGTATTAATAATAAACAGGATTCTAAGTAATATGCATAAAAATAAATAAACAGGGTGTTGATCTGGATTTGATAAAGCCATGGGCAGCATTGAGATCAAACATCATTCTTACCTCCAAAACCAAAACTAGCAAATATAAAAAATATAACAGATGCACTGTGGTCGTCATCATGACCATCCTCATGGAGAGTTGAATTGTCGAGCGCCATGACTGCCTTTCTTTCCAATTATTTTTTATACTGAAAACTTAAAATAAATTATTAAAAAGAAATATTCAAATCTAGATTATTCCTCGATGTTGTAGGGTGATAATTTGGGGTTTCTTTCGCGGCAGGGGTGAGCACCCTTATAGATTTAAAAAAAACAATTCTAGGATTCTTTCTGCTTAGCACCAGTTTAACTTTCATGATTCGAAGTAAAATGGAATAGGAAATACTGTTCTGCACCAATTCTTGCTGAAAGGACGCATATATAAGGGAACAGTGGCATTTCCGCATACCTTTTTTTTTATCTAATTCCGTGGTACTGCTATGGGCTCTTTTACGTGCACACCAATGAAGTACACGGGTGGACTCACACAAAATTTTATTTTCATGATTGGTTTTAGAAATGAAATGGAGTTTAACGTCCTACTGTTCTGCTGGTTTTAGATTATTGGTTTTAGATTATTGCGACTTGCCAGATTCACTTACACATTGTGGGCGACAGTGTTAATGGGATGGGCGTATTTTTTTATCCACAAGTGCTAAAAGAACATCAAAACATAACACTAACATATCCAACATAGGTTCGCAAAGGGAGTGTCTACAGTGATACATTCGATATTCTTTTTTCTTCTCTTTTTTACAAAACAAAAAAAAAAAAAATCTGTTATTGGTAGTATTTTTTATATATATATATAAGTCATTAATCCATTATTATTCACTTTACTATTTTGGTGATTGTGACAATGTCAACGGGTCAGCTATCTGTATGCGTCAAACAAACTATCGTAGATTTCATTCAACACATTCGTAACTATTAGTGCGATAAATCGCTAATGATTATTTGATGATTTGTACTACTGTAAATACATACAGATAATAAAGAAAATTCTGGTTATTTTTATTCCTCACTATACCTTCACTCTATACGTTATGGATGCCCTTTCCATTGATTAACCGCTTACACAAGTAGGTGATCCATTATTTGACCTACTATGAGTACAGGTATATATACTGACTATATGTATTTTTCTCATGATCTAATAATTCATCAAAATACCATTATCCTTTGGGGATAATGACAATGAAAAAAAGAACGACATTCAGAAATAAGTTGCAAATTTGGAAGGAACGTGCGACTGTTTCCGAGATCAAAAAAGACATCGGGCTTTCAATGTTGGTGTCACATTCTATTTATGCCATTATAAACATTGGTTAAAGAATTACGTACCACCTTATCGTGTACCTCATATAGCTGTCGTGTCCGATAAAAAAATCTCAAAGATAATAATCGACATGAACAACATCATTTGCATTAAATTATTTTTACGACGATAAAATGCAGCATTCTAAATCCATAAATAAATAATAGGCAAACAACGGCTCTTTCATTTATATTTATTTATTAATTTTTTTTTCAAAGATATTAATACAGTTGCTATAAAAGCGAAAGTTTATAATTTTCGTCACTTTAAGTAAAAACTAAACATAAAACAAAGCCCTCTTGCGCGTACTCTTTCTGAATGAATATTTTACCACATAGATCCCATCCCAACACATTGTTCTAACCTAAATCAAAGCGGTTTAGCACTATAAAGTTTCCTTAGTTTTTCAAGACATTTATGCAACATACAGCTGTTCAAATCTAGTCATGGGGCCCGCACGATGACTGTTATCTTCAGCAGTCATGATATGAAATTAAGGCAAAACAAAGCTGTCCCTATAAAATCTTCTGTAATAAAGGCTGTGTTATATATAATTGCGTGTTATATAATTTCCCGCACCATTGTTTGAAATCAAACTTTATGGACTCGCTAAACCTTGCGAATCTGTTCTACGCACAACCTGTAATTTATATGTAATTGTCTTCATATAATTAAGTTGATTTTGTAAGTAAAAGTGTTTAATTTACCTGTTTTTGTAATATGTTTGTAATCCCTATAAGATAACTGACAACAGCCCGTCCCTTATTCAAGGCGTATGTTCTTTAGTAATAATAAAACTATTATAGAGCCAAACGTACACCAATGTAAAAAAAAATGTTTAGCATAGAAAGCGCCAAATGATTACAGTTTAAGAATAGGTCGCCATTATTATATTACAATGTAACAGAATAATGTTATAACGAAATAACCGCAATAGCAGTGTGCATTCATGATGTGGGGTAGGTTTACAATAGGTAACTATGACCAAAGGAGGCCTAATGTAAGTTATGTTTACCGCATTCATATGATTATATAAATAATATCGGTCGAGCGGCTCACGTGTTTGCGGCACACGCTGTGTATGTTGTTCATCCATTTTTGTAATTGATTAAATGATTCTGAATGTTGTAAAATTATGAAATTCAATCTCTCTTTAATATCTAATGCTGCCTTCAAAAAATATAAAACTGCTACATATAGCTCGTCTTTGTTTGCCATGATTACTAATTCTTAAATGAGGTTAGTCATTGTATACGTGGAGTCAGTTGGTAAGTAAGATGTGAAGAGAGTTACTTTCAGAGCTGATTTTTTCGAGAATCCTTCACTAGCTCTCAAGTAATATGGGCATTGGTCTGTAGATAATAGCTCCAGATTGACATCCTATCGGCTGGACGCCTGGCCCCACATGGCGAGTAGCCATAGTCGCGCAGCGTTCCATTTCAAATTCCGGGCACTACTTTTCAGCGATAGCCCATAGGGTATTTTTTCAACCCTTCAAACGGTTGCGTATTAAGGACAGTTTCTGATTACGAAAGAAGGGTTTCAACCTTTTGACTAGAAAAGTAGGATTACGCGGATTATTCGCTTATGTGATGTACATTTCTGTACACGATTTTCGTAATAGGATTCGAATTACTCCACTGATGACGTCGTTCGGTGTTTTACACGATTGATCCCATTACTGGAGCCACCCATACGCATGATACATAAAATTTGATTATATTTGTTGAAATGTACATCGAAGTTTGTTCTAGTTAACTTAGTTATAGGCCGGTAGCTGATTTCAAATAATGTTACCAGAAGAAACATTTTGCCCCAGCATCAGCAATGTTAAAAGAACACTGCTTTGACTAATAGAAATATATATTCTAAATAAGAATATCGATAGGTTCTAACCCCGCAGTATTTAACGATCACAGTTGGTGGATTATTTTACTGCGGAAGCTTACTCTTTAAACTATATTTGGACATAGGTACTGGTCACGTGTCCTTAATTAGCCAATCGCTGATATATAAACAAACGATAACACGTGGTTTATTATTTACTTTACATGCAGACTCAGTGGCACTTTTTTTTCTATATATGGGAACATTTTATGATAAATAAATCCACGCAACGTGAGTTCAATCGGTCTTAAGAGTAAAATATCACTGAAACTAGTCACAATTTTATCTCTTATAAATGTAGAACTATGATAAAATATGTATGCGGGTGGATTGGCTGATTGTGACCCAATTTTGTAAACTCGTGAGATCTGTCGTAGGCCTACATGTTATAACTTGTGACAAGTAGTGGATCCATGTGGGGTACCTAGCCCCATCCCCTCACCAATAACAGTATAAAATTCACAAATTATTCTGTTTCAGTTTCAACGAAACATGTAAATTTGAACTTCTTGTATACCAATTATCGCCCCCCCCCCCACCAACAACATATTCTGTATTCTGTATCCCGCCACTCAGACAGTAAGGTGCTGTCTCACTAACCAGAAGATCCGTTGGTGTGGCACATAAAATAACCCCGAACAGTTGGTATTCAGAGTAGGCCGTAGTGACGCTGTACAGGCAAAATTTCCTCATATCCATTCGCTCCTTATCTTCACGTTGACCCAGTGTAAAGCCAAAAAGCCGTGACAAATGGTCCTAATATCTTCCAGCTTCGCTCTGAGCTTCCGCGCGAAGGCAAAAAAAAATCAGACACTTCTCGGCTTCGCCTTGTTCAATTCTTGCGACTTGCTTTGATAGCGCAAAGGACAGAAATGAACAAGGGGAAATTAAGAAGTTTCTTGGCTTTGTACTGATTATTTCATGCCTTTGTGCTGAAAACTCATAGAAAAGTGAACCCACAACAAAGCGAGGGGGACCACTTGTCACAGCTTCTCGATTTGGCATCGGAAGTCCAGAAGGAGCTAAAGAGTACCTATCGGCTTTCATAATATACCTGTCTTCATTAGCCTGGTTGGTCCAGAAACCAGGAGCTATGGTGGCTCAATTAGTAAGATGCTGCCCACTAAACAGGAGGTCCTGGGTTCGATCCTACCCAATGTTGGCCAATAATGTACCTCAAGATTTTCCAGCGTTGGTTTCTGTGGCCACTGGAGCAAGATGATGGGCCTGAAAACTTCTGTACACGTTGGCTTTCGCGAAAAAAGAACCTTTCAACATAATTTGAAGTAAGTTTAGGCCATAGCGCTGCTGCCCAGCAAAAGTACCTCATAGTATACTATAATCTTGCGTATACCTGACTTCATTACCACAGATGGTGCAGAAAAGTAGGTTGCTAAACCCCATTTCATAACTAGGAGCCAAGTTGGTTTAAACAATATTTTATTTCTATTATTTCATGATTATTTACAATACTCATATTGTGGATCTGAAAACAAGCCATAGCTTATATAAATTCAACTCCATGTAAATTGTAAAATTCTATAACATTACTAAAATGTACAAATTTCAAAGGTATTATATCTTACATTTTTATAAATAAAAATAAATAAATATATAAATAATTAAATTAATATAAATAAACATATAAATAAATAAATCATCTTCAAGGTCATCATCATCGTCATCATCACCATCATCACCATCATCACCATTATTTAACATTAATCGCCTGCCATTCTATTCAAAACGCTTGGTTAGTCTTAAATACTTGTGAACTTTACTAAAAATCATTTCGTTGTACGAGTTACTTTCGTTGGGATCGCCATATAGGAACGCTTTTGTATGTATGGATTTAAATGGAAGGGTATTTAATGTTGATATACGCTGAGACAAATAATTTGGGCAGTGCAAAAAGTAATGGTCGCTGTCTTCTTGAGTATGTCCACATCTGCATGTCGGATTTTGTGAAATATGCATTAAAAATCTATGGAAGTTTAGAGCACTTTTACAATTACGAAGTCTGGAATGTATAATCTGAAATTTACGATCTCCATAGTAATAATATTTAGGTATTTTATGATCGTTCACACTTATCTTAATTTTAAAATTTTGAATAGTGGAGGCGTTTTGCGTATCGTAAGAAAGACTGTTCCAAAGGTCAATTGTTGAAGGTAAAAATGAGTTTTTATAGTAATTAGTGTTAGAAGATATATTTTTTAATTTATTGTTATTACGAACAGGGTAAGGATTTACTTCGGAGATTTTAGGTGGTACTAGAAGACTTAAGAAAGGGGGAACCAAGTTATTAACCATTTTGTACATAAGGATAAGCTTGTGCCTTATACGTCTTGTTGATAGTAGGTTATATCCGGATTCATAGTAAAGTACATTATGGGAAGTGCCTCGAACAAGACCTGTTATCGTTCTCAATGCATCTAGATGGAGATTTTCTAATTTTAATGACTCAAATTTGTTACAGTTGTCCCAAACCACGTCAGCATAGTCGAATAAGGGCAAAATAAATGTATTGTAAATAATCTCTAAAGACTTACGAGAAATACGATATTTTAAGCCACGGAGACAGTCAATAGAGCGTTTGACTTTAGATATTACATATTCAATATGGTTATCCCACTGACAATTACTTTGTAAAATAAGACCAAGGTGTTTGTGGTATATCGATTCCTTAATTCTTACATTGTTAAGATTTAATTCAAAAGAGGTTTGGAATTGTTTTCTAGAGAATGTCATGGAAACTGTTTTTAGGGAGTTAAATCTTACTTTCCATTTAGTCGACCAGCTGTTAATCAAATTCAGATCTAAATTCATTACATTTTCACATTCGCCTGGGTTTTCAATAGTTAGATACAACGACGTATCGTCTGCAAATAAACGTATATTATATTATTTAAATTAGAGCTTTCACCTTTAATAACTACTGATTGTTTTCTATTCGTCAAATAATCTGATATAAGAGTTAAAAGTTTACCTCGGATACCGATGCAACTCAGTTTGTGAATCAGACCCTTATGCCACACACGGTCGAACGCTTTACTAATATCACAAAATATGGCTTTTACTTCTTTACCGTTATCGAGAGCCGACGAAATATAATCATATATGTCAATTAATTGATAAATAGTACAATCATTTATTCTGAATCCCGATTGCAGAGGGCTTAATAAATGATTGGTTAATAGAAAATTGTGTATATCTTTGTAAATTAGTCTTTCAAAGACTTTTCCAAGTAAACTTAATAATGATATAGGTCTATAATTCGCGGGATCGTGAGTATCCCCTTGTTTAAAGATTGGAACAACGATAGCCTGTTTCCATATATTCGGAAATACAGTTGTATTGTGTAGGAAATTAAACAATGCAGAAAGGGGCTGGCTTAATGACGTAGCACAATTTTTCAAAATAATGTTGTTAATTCTGTCAGGTCCACTGGCTTTATTTGTCGATAGTGAGATCAGCTGATCGCGTACCTTAGCCGTTGTGTAAACTGGCTGCTCAATTTCAATCGGATTAACATAAAGTTCCGGTGGCTCATCGTTAGCATTCTCAAGATGAGATTGACTCGAAAAATAATCGTTTAAAATATTAGTTTTTTCACAATCAACATAAAATAGTATATCATTGACTTTCAGGGAAGGGATTTCCGTGGAGGATTTGCCGGTATGAAAAGCATGACTTTTAATAAGTGTCCACCAAGCCCGTTTATCAAATCTATCAGAGTTAATTTTATTATCAATGTTATCGTAGTATTCCTTTTTACTTTTTCTCACTTCAGATATGACAAAATTTCTGTATTCACGAAATAATTTCCATGTATCAGGACAATTATGGACTTTGGCACTGTTATGAATTCTATTACGTTTGCGTATTATACGTCTCAGGTAACCGTTCATCCAAGGAACGTCACGTGGTCT